CTGATCTGAATTGCCTCAAAGAATAGCCACCTCCCACCACTATAAGAGTTGGCAACACCCTCAGCTGAAGGTAACAGAGACAGAGAAGCTGAGCACCTGCTCTGTCTGTGTTCCCTGACACCTGGACGTGGCACCACTGGAGAGTCAGAGACTCAGGGCTGGAACCTTCCGGGCATCCCTGCTTGTGAATCCAGAAATTTTCAGAGGCATCTCAGGGTGACTTTTTGGATCATTCTTTCCCTCCCCATGCCCTTGACCTTGTAGATGCTGGAACCATAAAATCTCAGACTTGGAAAGAACCTTAAATGATATCAGGTGAATGCTCTTCATTCCACCTCTCTAATTTGTCAGTTTGCCTTTGGCTTGAACACTCATGACAGGGAGCTCACTGTTTCTAGAGGTAGCCCATTCCATGGATAGTCAACGCAAATGAATAGAATGTTCTCTCGTACTGTGAATTTTAAATGTTACACTCTGTATCTTCCACCCCTTAATCTTAGCACTGCCCTTTGAAGACATACAAAATAAACTCACATTTTTTTTCCCATATGCAGCTACCAGATCCTTCTAAGTTTTCTCTACTTGGAGAAAGCACTTGGAATCCTCCAGCCACTTCTCGAAGCAGAATTTCCAGACCATCAGCAGCCAGGTGCCCCGCATCTGGGTCTGTGCCAGGTCTTTCAGGTTCCTTGTACTGGGCCCCACCTGCACCATCCAGCACTCTCTGGAAATGGAGGCTGTCTGCTTCTTCAAGGGACCCCATGTCACAGATAGATCCTGGGAGCTCATTGGTTGGTGGAAGAGCTTCAGCTCACTATTAATGCATGTGACCCCTCTGTCAATCCAAATGCTTTTTTTTTTTTTTTTTTAAGAATTGCCATAAAATACACATAACATCAAATTAGTATTTTAACCATTTTTGAGTGCACAGTTCAGTGGCATTAAGTACATTCATACTGTTAAGCAACCATGACCACCATTTACCTTCAGAACTTTTTTCGTTTTGAACAATTGAAATTCCATACTCATTAAATAATGATCCCCTTTCTGTCTTCTCCCAGCCCCTGGCAACCATCATTTTGCTTTCTGTTTCTAAGAATTTGACTACTCTAGGTATCTCATACAAGTAGAATCATATAGTATTTGTCTTTGTGAATGACTTATTTCATTTACCATAATGTCCTCAAGATTCATCCAATGTAGAGTAGGTGTCAGTTTTCTTCCTTCTTAAGACCAAATGCTATATAATTGCATGTAGGTACCATGATTTTTATCCATTTATCTGTGGATGGACACTTGAGTGGCTTCCACCTTTTAGTTACAGTGAACAGTGCTGCTTTGAACATGGGTATACAAATATCTGTTCAAGTCCCCGATTCCAGTTATTTGGGGCACATATCCAGAGGTAGAATTGCAAATGCTAACTTTTTGTACTTGTTGCTGATTGGATTTTTCCAACCCTGTATTTGTGAGTTTCACTTTTTGATCCGAAAGTTCCTGTAGAACCACTCTCTCTACAAATTGTTCTCATCATCTAAAGCTGTTGAGATCATTAAGCTCATTGGCGCCTAAGTATCATACAACACGCTAGTGATCATTTACATCATTAGTTCTACATCAGATTCACTTGCAAGGCTCTGTGCCAAGCCCAAGATTTGTCTCTCACAAAGCATTGTCACCGGTCCACAGATTATGTCAGTTAGAGGGAATGCTGATGCAGGAAGCAGAAAGCAGCCGTGGCCTCTTCCCCTCTCTCTTTCCTCCCCCACTCCTTCCCCACCTTGATCTCCTCTTTTGTGTCTCTGCCCTCTTCTTTTGGTTTTTTTTTTCCATATTCCCATTCTCTTCTAAAACATGTTTGGGGATAGCCTGTAGCATGCTAGGTGGGGGTGAGTCAGCAGAAATGTCAGCTTGTATGGTCCCTTAATCCATGTTGAGAGGTCCAGAGAGAAGTAACTAGTCAGCAGTGAGGTAGACACAAATCATGTGGGGTAAAGTTTTCAAACTTTAGAACAGGCGTCCCCAAACTACAGCCCTCGGGCCACATGCGGCCCCCTGAGGCCATTTATCCGCCCCCCCACCCCTCGCCGCACTTCAGGAAGGGGCACCTCTTTCATTGGTGGTCAGTGAGAGGAGCACAGTATGTGGCGGCCCTCCAACGGTCTGAGGGACAGTGAACTGGCCCCCTGTGCAAAAAGTTTGGGGACGCCTGCTTTAGAAGAAAAAATTCTAACATTTCCAAGATTGCTAATTTCTTTAAGGACAGGTGCATCTGTCTAGAGTAGTAGCCCAGGAAGAGGAAGGAAGGCAGCCAAACTGTGTTATAGGGATTCCCACCAACCCAGAGAGACAGAACCACAGAAGTCTTTGCATTCCCCAGCCCCACATCCAGGCTCCACTCAACCTATCTCATCTTGCAGGATGGGATCTATGCCCCCATCAGACCATCTCCATATTTCCAGTTTCTACTTTAGTCTGAGGGGAACACGATTTTAAAGTATTTGGTATCGTTGGCCTCATTGTGATGTAGAACTGGGGCAGAGTCTCAGCCAGAGAAGTGAACTATGGAGAAAATGGCAAACTCATCTGAAGAATAAGAATTTTTAAAGTTCAGTTTACTCCGATGCATGTGGTTCCAGTTATCTATTATTGTATAACGAGCCAGCCCAAAATTCAATGGCTTAAGACAGCCATCGGATGATATGTCAGGATTCAGGCAGAGCTCAGCTTGGAGTTCTTCTAAGTTCCTGGGCGCATAGACACAGGCAAGTCATCCAGTGGTAATCAGCAGGTGGAAGCCCTGGTTTAAGAGTTGAAGATGGCTGCACTCATCTATCTGGTGTCTTGGTGAGAATGATAAGGAAGCTGGGCTACACTGGGCTGTCACTCAAAACACCTACATGTGGCCTCTCCAGCATGGCAGCTTCAAGGTAATCAGATATCTTACGTGATGGCTCAGGGCTCCAAGAAAGTGTTCCAATGAACAAAGCTGGAGGCTGCTGGCCTTTTATCATCTAGCTTTGGAAATCACCTGGTATCATCTCTGATGTACTCTGCTGGTTGAAGTAGTCACAAGTTTCAAGGATAGGGGACACAAACCGTACGTTTCAGTGAGGGACTGTCAAAGAATTTACAACCATATTTCAAAGCTGTCATAGATATGTATGCACATTTTAATGTGATAATACAACCACATCTGCACCTGCAGTTCATCACAAGTACCCCGCACAATCTAGCATTCAAAGGGTTGTATGGCTTGGGAAGAGGAACTCACATCCTGTTGGGGCATCAGAGGTTTCATGAGTGAGAGAGGTCCTGAAGGATATAAACTGTGTTACAGATGGAGATGGAGGAGGAACTGTCCAAGCAGAAGGAATCAGGCAAGGAGAGACATAGGGAGAAAAATGATCATGAGAGGCAGGAGGAGAATTCTGAGGGTCTGCTACAGCTGGGGGTAGCCTCAGGAACAAAGAGGTCTCTGAACAGGGCAAAGACGCAAAACATCAAGGATAGGATAGGGCAAGCAAGGGTTATAGAGCACCTTTCATGGAAAGACGTGTAGGATGGAGACTTGAGGGAGAAGGAAGAATTCAAGTTCTAAAAAATTAGGGCACTCGCTGCTGGGGAAGGGTTCCTAGAGGCTGAGGACTGAGAGCGGTTAAGTGCTTCCTTTCATCTTGAAAATAAGGAGGTGCGTTTTTCCTCGGGAGTAACAGCAAAGGAAAAAAGTGGATTGCTGATGAGTAAATTCTGAAGGACAGAGAAGTAAAGAGGAGGGCTGGCTTCAATCTTTTGAGTCATGTAAGAGGTAAGTGAAAAAGCACTGATACGGAGGTTAGACATTTGCATGAGTTTCTACGAAAATACAAAATATGACTTGTTTAGAGAACTTTGGTGAAGTAAGCAAATGTTCAGCCAGGTGTTGGAATGATTAATTATACAATTCAGTTTTATTTATTTTTAATGTTTTTCCTGTTTACAAAAATAATATATATCCACAGTAGAAAATTTGAAAAATATCAAAAGGTACAAGAAAGGAAAGTCATCTATATACTTTACTATTACCCAAAGACAACTGCTAGGAACCAGTTTTATTCCTATGCAGTTGATTAATAACGCAGATATAGTTTTATTTTGTAACTGAATACAAATATTTCACATATTAGAGATTCTATACAGTTTTGCTTCAATAGTCTTCAGACACATCTTTAATGTGTTTAATGTCTATACGGTACCCATGCTGTAGAGATGCCATAACTTATTTTATCATTCTCTATTTTGGAATATTTAGATCGTTCTGAGTCTTCATTTCACATATACAGTGTGTGTGTGTTTCTCATGTATATGCAGTATGTTATACAACTGTATGTATACATATATAGATATCATCCATGAACCGTCTTTGTAAGTATGTGCCTCTCTGATTGTTTTTTCTTAGGACATATCACTAAATCAGAACACATAAACTCTTTCAAGGTTCTTGAGACATATCGCCAAACTGCCTTTCCAGAAAGGGTGTACCAATTTTTATTTTCATCCACAATCAGGCAGCTCGCTGACCCTTGTCCACATTTTTGTCACTTTAAAAAGAAATATCACTTGGGAAAGCTCAGTTTCTTCTGGCAGTTGACACTGTAAAACTAAGGTCATGTTTTTAAAATTCCAGCTTAGACATAGGACTTCTCTGAGACTCTCCTTCACTCTGAAGTCCTCTTTGTGTGGGGATGGGTGGGAGAGGAGACTGATTCAAGGTGCCTTCAGACTCTGAGGTTCTGGTATTTTCACGGGCATTACTGGCAGCAGATTGCTCAACCCTTCGGTCAAAAAGACAAGGAAAGTATTTCAGCGCTTGCTGTTTGTCATAGTGGCTTTGATTAGGAGAAAGTAAGTGGGAAACAGGAGTAGCTCCGACAGGGGGTTTGGACCGCCAGCGCACTGCCCGGAAGCGGCCCCCACTACATGTGCGCAATCACACACACACACACACACACACACACACACACACACACACACACACACGCGGCGCGCGATCCGCTGGAGTTTGGCTACTGGAGTCGGGAGGGAGAGAGGGGGCGAGCTGGTGGCTGTCGGGCCGGGGTCTGGGCGCCAGCGAGCGGCCGCCCCACCTCTGAAAACCGCGTAGAGGGCGGTGTGTCCCGGACCCCGGCAGCCCAGCCCCCGCTCTCAGGCCAAGTTTGCGCGCGGTCTCCGCTGACTCTCGGGTTACCTGAGCCGGCAACCACGTCAGCGCCACATCATCTGGGCTTTTTATATTGCAAGGAAACAGGAAAAGAAGGAAAAGAAACAACGCCCGAGCGAGCCAATCCCCGGGAGCCGGCGCAACCGGGAGGAGCGGGCGGGCTCGGGCGGGCGCGCGGGGGAGCGTGCGGCCGGCGGGAGCCGGGCCCGGGCGGGGGCGGGGGCGGCGGGGCCGGAGGGGGCAGCGGGCAGCGCTCGGGCGGGTCTGCGGCGTTGGCCTTGGCTTTGGCGGCGGCGGCGGCGAAGATGCTGCAGTCCCTGGCCGGCAGCTCTTGCGTGCGCCTGGTGGAGCGGCACCGCTCGGCCTGGTGCTTCGGCTTCCTGGTGCTAGGCTACCTGCTCTACCTGGTCTTCGGCGCCGTGGTCTTCTCGTCGGTGGAGCTGCCCTACGAGGACCTGCTGCGCCAGGAGCTGCGCAAGCTGAAGCGGCGCTTCCTGGAGGAGCACGAGTGCCTGTCCGAGCAGCAGCTCGAGCAGTTCCTGGGCCGGGTGCTGGAGGCCAGCAACTACGGCGTGTCGGTGCTCAGCAACGCCTCGGGCAACTGGAACTGGGACTTCACCTCCGCGCTCTTCTTCGCCAGCACCGTGCTCTCCACCACAGGTAGGGTATCCTGCGCGCCCCGGCCGCCTCGCACACACCCCGCACCCCCTGCCCCGGAGCCCCGGGCCCCTCTGACCCTCCCACCCCATCCCCCACCTTTCGCCATCCCGGCGCCTCCAGCGGGACTCCCCCTCCTGTGCTCGCGACCCTCCGACCTTCCCCTTTCTGGCGCCCCGACCCCTGCCGCAGTGACTCGGGGAGGGCAAGCGCGGCGGAGCGGAAGCCAGAGAGGTGGCTCCAGACGTGACTTGGTTGTCGCCGTCTATAACTCTGGGGAAGTGGTCCCTAACTTCGGCCTGGGTGGCTGCAGGGGCTTCCTTCCCCACCGAGTTCTTTTTTGTAATCCCCTGCCTAAGTCAATCGATGGGGTCTGGATGTGTAGCAGCACCTGGTCGCGGCGCGGGCGAGGCAGCGGGGTGATGGAAACGCTCTAGCGCTCACCTTCCTCCTGACCCCATCCCAGAGGCCGACGCTGCACAGTCTAGTAATAATACCTTCTAGAGGGTCACCTTCCGGAGTCTGCCCGTCGCTTTGGATTAAACAGATATTCCAGCTCTTTTGTACCTTGGAGGCAGTTTTAGGGGTAGCCGAGTGACATCACTCTGCTCTTCCCAGGTGACCTCTGGGCGGACAGGCCGATCTGGTTTCTTTTCAGAGTAGGAGGAGGGTTGAGGGAGAGCAAAGGGAGCATCGGATTGCCTAAGATCTGACTAAATGGGGGTACCCTGATTCAGCAGTTTCTTCAACTTCAGGTGTGCGAGGGTTCCCGTAAACTTCGAAGCGCCACGTCCCCGCGCAACTCACCCGCGGGGCGCTCTGCCATGGAGGAGCGTCCTCAGGTGAAGGATGAGGCCAGGCTGGGTCACTGTGCCATATTAGATGGATGAAGGCCGAATTTCCCCAACCAGACCTAGTAAGGCACATAACCTAGGTGGAGACATAAATTGGTATTTGGACACTGGAAGGAATCTCAAAGAGCGTTCAGCACAGTCCTTTCTTTTGATCCATGAGAACCAATCTTTGAAACAGTCCATGATGTCATGCACAAGGTCACACACTTCTTAGTACCAGGGTCGTCCTGGAACCTGGGCCTTGTGATTTCTCTGCCAGGAACACTTTGTCACCCCTGACTTTCAACCTTTACAGGTGAATCACCTCCCTTTGTGTGACTCCCAACTCTTCCTTCCTCTCTACCCGCTCCCCACCACCCAAATTACTATATATCATTCCCTTTGGGCTATATCTAGTTGATTGTCTTGGTAATTACTTGGTAATGAGTAATAATACACTATTCATGTAGATCACATGAAACAATTATTCAAAGGTCTGGGGTGAATCCTTTACCCTGAAATAAACAGAAGTGGAATTCTAGCTTGTATTGTGAGATCGGAAAAAACTGTGTTAAATGTAGGCCTAGACCAGACAGACCTGTTATCTCGCTTTCCAAAGAATGCCTGTTCCCTTGCCAATACAACTTAATTTTTTGTTCCGTAACTCTGCTTCCATTGTCTTTACCTAGCTCTCTGTTCCTCAGATCATTTAGAAGTCACCTTTCCTTTCCTTTGGAGTATGTTTGTTCTATATTGAGAGTCATTCATTCTTCCCAGAAGTGTTTCCACGGGGCTACAGAAAGTTTACAGCTGGGTCACAGTGTTGGGTAAACATTTCGCGGAATGAGTATAGAGTGTGGTGATAATGTGAAGATAGAACAGGAATAAGAGCAGTTTCAAGGAAAAAGTTTGCTTTTTTCTTGGATTTTTCATGATGATTTCATGCATAGTCTTCACATTGAATCACCTAATTAAATGTTAAAAATTAGTTTATAATCTTGAATAGATGAGATATTCTTCCCAGAGGAGAATTAGAAAAAGTTGCAGTTTCTATTTAAGAAAGGGGTAGGGTAGGAATAGACATCTTATTATTGGTATTCAGATTACATTGTAGTTCCTAAGAAAGTCTGCATTCATGCAAAACAAGTGTTCATTTAGGAAATGAGTGCAAGGGGCACTTAAGGATAAACTCAATGAAAAAGGTGCCTCTTGATTTGTAAAGTTAGCAGATCAATGAATTCTTGTTATATGAATACAACTATTCTAAATGAAAAATACTCTTCTGTTGGCTTTGTACTGACCTATTATTTGACACATTTGATATTTCTTAAGGTTTCAAAATTATGATTAACCATTATTTGATTCATTTGATGTTGCTTAAAGTCTTCAAATTATTATAGGTGCCCTGGCCATGAATTTTATGTTGGGTGAGAAATCTTTTCTTCCCAACAAGGGGCAATAAAGGGATGTTAAATTGTTTGCTGGAAACACAGTTTTTTTAGAGTAAAGCTGGTATGCTTCATTACTAGGAAAATATTTTCTGGAAAAGTACCAGCCAAATAAAATGAATTGCAATCCCTTTTCTTTTTGGGATAGATATTAGACATGTTGTGCTTGTTTTTTTCTTTTCTTAACACTTCTACCCCTTTGGATGGCAAGTCACTGAGATTATTGTTACCCAGTTAACCAGTACAGGCAATCTTTGACTCACCCAGAATGCTAACAATGAGCATTACAAAGGTGCTATTATTGGTAGTCATCCTTGTAATACAGGCCCATGAGAGTATTTATGTCAGAATCTTCTCACCCCTAGAAGGTCCACACTTCCATTTCTGGAAGGAACTGAGTAAAGTCTTCATGGTCTATTTGGAAGAAAGCTTAGGTTGGTAATTCAGCAATGTTCTTCTCATTCTCTGCTTTACCAAAACTCTGAATTCTTTCCGGCAAACAATTTAACATCTTTTTATTTTCCTTTGTAGAGAAGAAAAGATTTCTCACTCACTTCTAATAAAATACAAATTAACAAGATAAAAGCACACACATTTAGTTAATGCAAGTTTTACATGACATAGAAACCTTTAGAAATGAAGACCTAAAGAAACAGGGAAGCTTTCGTATTTTTAGGTTCAGTTGTGTAGAAAAATGATTGGAGAATGAAGGGTATGATCTGGCTGGGCCCAGTGGCTCACACAGGTACTCCCAGCATTTTGGGAGGCCAAGGTCGGAGGATTGCTTGAGGTCAGGAGTTCAAGGCTGCAGTGAGCTACGATTGCACCATTGCACTCTAGCCTGGGCAACAGAGCGAGATCTCATCTCTACTAAAAACTTAAAAAATTAGCCTGGAGTGATGGCATGTGCCTATAGTCCCAGCTACTTAGAAGGCTGAAATGGAAGGACTGTGTGAGCCTAGGTGTTTGAGGCTGCAGTGAGCTGTGACTGTGCCACTGTGCTCCAGCCTGGGCAACAGAGCAAGACTCTGTCTTGGAGAAAATAAAAAAGAGGGTATGATCTAAAAAGCAAATAAACTGAAGGAATTTAGCAAGGCCTTTTTGTTCAGATTCTTCTTGGCATCTCTGTGTCTTCAAGGATAAGATATTTCTTTTCTCAAGGTATAAGGTGGGTTTCCTTGGAATGAGGGTCTTCTTCAAAGGAAAGACAGAGCTTCAGGGGAGAAGGTTGGGAGGAAGATGAGAATGACCTTCCTGCTTCTGCTGTTTTCTCAAATGCTAAGGTGCCCTGTTTGGGGGTAGCATATCCTGAACTCCATCACCCTTTGTTCTGAAAGATACAGCAACAATCGCCTAGGAATCATATGAGAACAGGTGAAAAAGTACAAGACAGTTTTGAGCTTTTCAGAAAGAAGAGTCATATACAAAAAAAAAAAAAAAAAAAAAAAAAAGGAAGCATTATAGACTATAGAACTTCCCACAGAACTTTTATGCTGTGGGTTTTTTTTTTTTTTCCAAGTATTGGGGAAATAATGTCCAGGTGATACTTGGAAAGTAAGAAATAATTATTAAACTTTAGTAGCCATCTAAAACTTTGGGCAGTGTCATTCATTCTTAAGAACATTTTGTGATGTTGATTTACTAAAGTTTACTTCTATATTCATCCCCAAAGCAAGGCCATATTGTGACCATGACTATTTGGTAAAAATGCAGTTTTTGTATTCACGCAGTATACAAACTTTTATTTTTGGAGATAGGGTCCTGCTCTATCACTCAATCTGCGGTGCAGTGGCACCATGCTGGCTCGCTGCAGCCTCTAACTCCTGAGCTCAGTTGATCCTCCCACTTCAGCCTCCTGAGGAGCTGGGACTACAGGCACAAACCACCGCATCTGGCCATTTTTAAAATTTTTCTGTAGAGAGGTTGGTCTTGCTTTGTTGCCCAGGTTGGTCACAAACTTGTTGCCTCAAGCCATCTCCTGCCTCAGCCTTTCAAAGTGCTGGGATTACAAGCATGAGCCACCATGCCTGGCCCCTGTTCCTGTCATTGGTAGCCCTGGTGCCTTTAGTCAAGATATTGCTTTATCCCTGTTTATGAAGAGATGCATTGAAACTCCGTTTATAGTGTTCGGTAAGTGAACTTAATTGGGCTTGATTTACAGTGGTTTTTGATTAAGGCAGGGTAGGGAGCTGCTACAACATAGGTAATTTTCAAACAAAGAAGATGGGAAGAGGCAATGGGGGATGCTAGACTGATTCTTAGTTTTCAAATTATTTTCAGTAGTAGAAATATGTTGTTGCCATCAACAAATACCTGTTGAGCTTTTAGAATAGAACAAAGTGGGCAAACTAGGGCCCCCGGACCTGATCTGGCCCATCACCTGTTTTTGTGTTGCCTGAGCTAAGAATGGCTTTTATTTTTAAATGGTTGGGACAAAAAAAAAAAAAAAGAAAGAAAGAAAATAATGTTTTCCGACACAGTCAAGTTTTATGAAAATCAAATTTCATTGTCCATAAAGAGTTTTATCGGTGTTCAGCCACACCTGTTTGCTTCTGTATCATTTATGACTGCTTTCCAGCTACATTGGCAGAGTTGAATAGTTGGACAGAAACCATGTGACCACAAAACCTAAAACATTTACTGCCTGACAGAAAAAAAATTTGCTGCTATCCGCTTCAGAATGATACTTGAAAGGTAGCTAAGAGTATTCTGAGTATTTCAC